AACCACCTTCGCCCTCAACCTCCCTCTGCGCCCACAGGCAGCCCGGCTATGGCCGCCAGCGCCCTGCGCCCAGGCTGCGCTCTACCGCTTAGCGCCAGCCTGCCTCTCTTAGCCACTGCGCAGCGCAAGTGCTAGCGCTACAATGCAGCAGCGTGCCCGCAATGCCTGCATTGGCCAAGATCCCTTGCCCAGCCGCATGCTCTGCCTATATGCCCAGCAGTGCGAGTGCGGCCTCGTTTCAGCCTGTGCCTGGGTCCCGGTAGCTGTGCCCAGACCCAATGCAGATAAGGGCCCAGGCCGTACAGTTGTGCCTCTTTCATCAAGGCCCTTGTCCAGATTCAGATTGTGGGCCGGTTTCCCAGTGGCATTTTCGGCTTCTATGTCCAGCATGCAATGCCGGCCTCACGTTTATGCGCCCAAGGCCTAACTAATTCTGAGGCCCTGGTCCTTCTGCATTTGCAGGGATCTGGTACTCGGTGCACTCCAACCAACTGGCGGGCGGCAACTGTCTGGACCCCACTTCAAGAAATGTTGCAGAAAGGCCTCTCGTTGATTTGCTGGCCCGCCTTCTAGGCTTGCTGGGGGCCTTAGCCCAGAACATGTACATCACGGCAAGGCCCCTTTGAGGGCTCAAACCTCACACTACTTTGGAGCAATAGTACATTATTTGGATATAGGGAGAGACCTACAGCAAAAGGTCAAGGAATCGTATGCACAAGACCCCGTTCAAAGCGACCTCCTCACGCGAGTTAAGGAGGCCCCAGAGACTGAACCAGATTACCGCACTACTGATGGGTTGTTATTTGAGAAGACTAACGTAGTCGACCATCTGTGTGTTCCCAACAGTGAAGAGATCCGCAGCTTGATTTTAGGGGAATGCCACGATACTGATTTGGTTGGCAAAAGACATTAGCCAAACTCATTCGCGTGTATACATGGCCTGGCATAAAGGCTGACTGCATAGAGTACGTGCGTAGTTGTAAGGTATGCTAGAGGAATAAGACCACTACGCGAGCCCCTCTTGGTCTTCTCAGGCCCTTGCCTATTCCCGCAGGACCCGGAGATTCTTTATCCATTGACTTCATGGATGCTGGGGTCAGGAGTAGTGTTGCATACTGTAACGGTGCAGACCAGAACAAGAACCGACCTCTCAATACAAAGTACAAGATAGCTTAGCGGAAGACTTAGATACCAATGATCCGAACAATCAATATTGCAATGCAGCCCTAAACACACATCATCATCATCGTTCCATGGTGTGAAAGGGGTCTGGCGCTTCACACAGGAAGACTGCGCCAGCCCCAACCATACACAGACGAAGAAGAAGGGGGTTAGACAAAGAGGAGGGGAAGATGGGAATGTCGTCAACACCAAGTCTTCGGCACAGGCCCAAATAGTCCCTCGTCAAAATGTCTGAATCTCAAATGTCGAGTTTGGATCCAATGTCGTCAAGCCCCAAGTCACAACTCTCTCTCTCTCTGTCCTAGTCTGAGAAGTCAGGTGGTGAGAGGGTGAGAAGAGATGGTGGACTTAGAAGAGGAAGAAGAAGAACTCTCTCTCTCTCTATGTGTCCAGTACTAACCTGTTCGCCTTGATGCAGGTACCTCGAAGATGGAGCTGGAGCTATGGCGCCACAGGTAAGTATCGCTGGCCTCCGCCAGCCATCTCCCTCCACTGCTACTACTACCACCTACTAGCGCCCAGCGCTGAAGACTACACCTACAGCTATGGGCGCCCAGCGCTGAAGACTACTACTAGCGCTGAAGACTACTGCAGCGCTCCTCCTGAGTGCTGCGGCTGAAATCCTGAAGACTACTGTCCTACTGTCCAACTACCTACCCGTGAAGTGCATGGGAACTTCCTATGTACTACTCGGGTGCCTCCTGACTGCAGGCGAGCAGTCCAGGAGGCTGCTCTTGCCAATGCCGAAAAGAGGCAGGGGCTGCCGTTGCAGCTCCTGCTTGAGCTGTCGTGGGGAACAGGCCAAAAATAGCCTGTTCCGAAACCCTGTTTTTGTGCCTGAGTCTTAGGGTAGGTCGAACACAATGAGGGCCTGAAAATGGCCCTCCGTTTCAGGCTGAAAAGCCTCTGGTCCTGAAATAGGCTCAAAACGGAATAGGGCCTGCAGGCCCTCGTTTTTCAGTTTCAGGCTGAAACGACCGGGCCCTGTAAGCCTTATTTTCTAGGCTTTTAGGCTGAAAGTGCGGGACGGGCCCTGCAGGGCCCGTGTGGCTACGCAGTATGCCACACCCCCCCCTCCTTGAAAGACGGAGCTTACCTCTGAGGGCGAAGCTGTCTGTCTGAGGGAGGGACCACAGTCCGGGTGGGAGGGGCTGGTCGTGAAGCTTCCTGAGCTAACCTTTGCTTCTCATAATGCGCGTAGATCAGCGGTGCGGATGCTTTCAAATCTGCTCCTGAAATCCACCGAGTGTCGTCGCGATAGCAGGCTTTGAATGTAACTTTGTACTGTCGCGGCTTGCTGCCGTACTTGCAATCGGTGATGACGCGGTCAACTTCCTGATGACCATCCATAGAACGAGGGTCCTGCGATCGTTGGCCCGGAAAGTCGCCGCTCTTAGCTGGCTTGTATGTTGCCAGCTTTGAGGTGTGAAAGACTGGATGGACCGTCAGATGCGGGGGGATGTTGATCACAAATGAAGGGCCATCGGGCTCATCGCCCGTGGCTGATGTTACGGGCCATGGTCCAAACCACTTGGGAAGCAGTTTGCGTGAGACCTCCTGTTCCAGTGCAAACTCTTCCGCGGAAACCCAAACCAGGTCGCCGGCGCGGATGGGACATGGCACGCGATCCCTGTTGGCTTGCTTCTGCATGCAGACTTGAGCCTTTTGCATATTCGCGCGGGCTTGAGCCAACAATTCCCTGTACTTCCGGACGGAAGCGGGAGAGCAAGCGGCATCGATGTCGGCTGGTCGTGGGAGGAGAAGGTCGGCGAAGATACGGCCTTTCCGTCCACCGTGGTGCAACTCGAATGGAGTCACACCGATCGCCGGGTGCACCGAAGTGTTGTAGGCGAACTCGATGTCGGGGAGGCGGTCAACCCAATCTTTCTGGTCCGGACGGATGAGCGTACGAAGCATCATTTGAGTCGGCTGATGTGCCCGCTCCGTCTGCCCGTCTGTCTGTGGATGCCGAGCCGAACTTGGCTTCATCTTCGTGTCGGACTCCTGCATGAGAGCAGTCCAAAATGCCGACATGAAGCGAGTGTCGCGGTCGCTAACTATGTCTTCCGGTACACCGTGGCCACAAATCCAACCGGTGTGCAAGAGGCGTGCCAGCTCGGGAGCCGTGGAGTAGTACTTGCAAGGGAGAAAACGCACATACTTACTCAAACGGTCCACAACCGTGAGGATGCCGCCGTGTCCGAGGCGGACGCGGGGGAATGGTCCGGGGACATCCATGGCAATGGAGAGACCGGGTTCCTGCGGGATCAGCATCGGGCGCAGCTCGCCGTAGGGGTTGCGGTTGCGGGGTTTGCTTCGTCGACAAACTTCGCAAGAGTCACAATACCTCGTGACGTCGGTGATGAGGTCGGGCCATCGGAATCGTTGTCGAAGCCGTGCAATAGTGCGGTTGACTCCGAAATGGCCGGCGAGTCGCGAATCATGATACTCGCCGAGGAGGCGAGTCCAAAGACGGCGGTCGCGTGGGACACATAGTAAGTCCTTGCCCCGCGAGTGCAGGAGCAAGTACCCATCGGCGATGCGATAGTGGCTGGCCAACGGGTGATCCGAAGATAGTTGCGCATATAGCGTGGCGAAGTCTGGATCGGACTCGTAGCCCCTCATGAAGTGTCACTGGAGCTCCTCGTCGAATGCGAAGGCATGATGTGTCATAGCGCAAAGATCAAGTCTTCGCGAGAGTGCATCTGCTGCGCGATTGGAGAGGCCGGGAAGATGTTTTGGTGTGAAGTCAAATTGGTCGATGAAGTACATCCATCGTCCGATCGTGCTGCTCACCGTATCCTGCGTCTTGTAGTAGGTCAATGGATTGTTGTCTGTGACCCATGTGAACCTACGACGCCCAAGGAGGAAGTGCCGCCAGTGCTTAAGAGCCATCACGAATGAGAGCAGCTCCTTCTTCCTTGCATCATCAAGTGAGTTGATGGGAGGCACTTTGTGGATGAAATATTCCACAGGGTGCCAGTCGTCGTCGTCGTGCTGTTCCAAGACTGCCCCAATGCCATAGCCGGAAGCGTTCGTAGTCACTCTCGTCGGCAGGGTGGGGTCATAGATGCTAAGGACGGGTGCCATGAGCATAGCCGTCTTAAGTGCTTGGAATGACCGGCGTGCGTCGTCATCGAATACGAATGGCACCTTTGGCGATTGTAATCTCGTCATAGGTGCAACAATCCTCGAGTATCCGGTGATGAATCGCTGATAGTAGCCCGCCAATCCCATGAATGAACGAACGTCCGTGGTGTTGGTGGGCTCGGTCAATACTCGTAGGGCCTCGATCTTGTCCGCAAGCGGACGGATGCCTTGCGGCGTCACATAATGTCCCAAGTACTCCAGCTCCTGCCGTGCAAATTCGCACTTGTCGCGGTTGGCTTTGTACTTGGCCTGTCGTAGCCGCTCCAAAACGGTGTGCAGGTGTTCCATATGCTCGTCCAAACTCCGGCTGTACACCAGGATGTCGTCGAGATAGATAAGTACGTATCGATCCAGCATGTGTCGGAACTCCGTTGTCATAGCCGCTTGGAAAGTGGTCGGGGCATTCGTAAGGCCAAATGGCATAACCAGCCATTCGAAATGCCCATATCACGTCTTAAACGCGGTCTTGTAGCGATCCTCCTTCCGAATCTGAAGTTGGTGATATCCCGACTTGAGGTCCAGCTTGGAGAAGAACTTGGCGCCGCCCAGTCGTTCGAGAAGGTCGTCGATGCGTGGGAGAGGGCCGACATTTCTGATCGTCTGCGCGTTGAGCTTGCGATAATCGATGCACAACCGCAAATCCTTTTTCTTCTTCCGGATGAAGAGAACAGGAGCACCGTATGACGATGAGCTAGGCCGWATCCAGCCTTTCTCCAGAAGGTCGTCGAGTTGCGCCCGAAGCACACTTAACTCTTCCTCGCTCATTCGGTAGATGCAACCGCGCGGAGGTACGGCCCCGTCCTCGAGGATGATCTCGTGGCGGATGGGCCAATCCAGTACTACTCCGTGCGGACCTTCGAACACATCGCTGTAGGCGTCGAGAAGCTCGGTGATGCATGGATCCGAAGATGAGTCCGTCGGTGAAGCGTCATGGGGCGGGAGGGCGTGGAGAAAACACACCCCCATCTCCTCGATGTCGTCTCTGATGATGGAAGCTCGCATGCTTGCGGCGGATACCACGTTACAGCTGATTGAAGGGTGAGGAGGAGCTACCGTGCATGGGACTAGTACTTCGTTCCAATCAAAGGACACTGCCTCACTTGCGTGAGGGGCAAAGTACACTGGGACGTCATCAATGCACTGGTCGATTGACTTGTGTGTGTGACCGTCCGCCAATGTGACTTGCGTGGGTTGGGACTTCCTTCGGACTCGTGGGCCAAGGCCGGCGCGTACCATGAAGTCCTGACTCATGTAGTTGCGAGATGCTCCGCAATCGATCAAAGCGCTGCAGGTCGCCTCTCCGATATGGATGCGTACATTTAGCAATGGTGCGTCGATGTCGTCGTACCGTTGCGTCTTGAACTCGTGGTCGATCTTCGCAATGTAGGCGTGAAGGTCGACAACCTTTACTCCGGCGTCCATCAACGGAGTCGGTACTGCAGTGTGCAAGTAATCCCGCAATTGTGCCTTAAGCACATTGCAATGCAGTTTCGGCAATCGACCGGACCGGGGAAGTGGCATCCATTGGAAGTCCGCAAATGTCAACGGGCCGAGCTCTTCAAGTCTTGACCATGACGTTGAATCCCCCGCGGTAGATGGCGGCGAAGCTGTCGAATCGGTTGCCGATGGTGATGAAACCGTGCATGCGGTAGATTGTTGCACGTGGAGCGGTTGGTCCAGCGGTGGGACCAAGTGGACAGCATAGTCCTCATAAGCATACCGAGAACTCACGACATTCGCATCCTCCCCAGATGTGTAGGAGGCCGCTAGCAAGGCGGATGAATCTGGCGGAGTGGGAGGTGGAGTTGACTCACCTCCCGCGAAACTCAGTTTCTCGAGCTAAGACGAGGCTGCACATCCTCCTTGGCCTGATCCTGGCAAAGGGAGGTCTTGTGCTTGGTGCTGTTGCACCAGTAACAGCAGCCGTAACGGCCGCGGTACTTGTACTCGGTCTCGGTCAAGTTGAACTTGACCCATGGTGCTGGCTGTCCGTTTTCGGCCTGCGATGCTGGTTTCGCCTTCCTGTTTACTCGGGGCTTGTTGTTGCTTCGCGGCTGGACAGCAGCCACCTGATCCCCCTCACGTGACGCTTGGGTGGCTGTCGGGTCTTCCACAGTGTTGTCCGATTGGACTGCAGCGAACTGCTGCTGTCGCAGACCAGTTCTCACCTTCTGCACATAGGTTGGCTGCCACGTTGGCTTCTCGTGAGCAGCCGCCCTGTTGGTCTTGATGATCTCTCTCGCCTTGTCAATAATTTCGGCGAAAGTTGCATACTGCTCGCGATCACCAAGTGCCTGGCTCAATGCAGCGCATGACCTGTTGTAGAACTCACGGCGCAGATGCGGAAATGGAGGTCAAGATCGGGCGTTGCCGCGATCTTCTGCCATTCCGTGAGCCAGTCACGTGTTGCTGTGTTGCCCTGAGTCATGGTGAAGAGACGGTTGATGGCGAGTGTTGGTGCGTCGTCGACGATGAACCGCTTCTTCCACAGCCGTGTTAACTCTTCCCATGAGATCTTGTCTTTCAGATCTGCGATGTCGACGCCGTGGGTGGCTGCCAGGTGGGTTAACCAGATCTGGCATCCGCCAGAGTTCATGAACAGGGCGCCAATGTACTCGTGCTTGGCGAAAGGCAGAACCCGAAGTTGCGTCGTGAAAGCTTCCCACCAGAGCACCGGGTCCTGATGCGTGTAGTCGTCGAACTTCTCAAGTTGAAAAGTTGGCATCTTGTATTGCTTTGGATTGTTGCCATCCGTGTTCGTCGACTGCAATTGCTGGACCTCGGTCTTCAAAGTATCCAGCTGATTGCTGATGGTGGTCGGCGCAGCAAAGGTGCTGATGTCGCCGAGCATTGCGACGACGTGGTCGACGCGTTGCTCCAGTTGGCGGTGAGAGGGTGCACTGCTGGACTCACCAGCATCTGGTCCTGGTACGGCGTGCTCCGGGTCCAATACACGGGAATTGAGTGCCCATGTAGCATCCTCGTGGCTCTGCACTATCCGGCGGAGGTTCGCCAACTCCTGGTGCTGTGTCTTCAGATCCTGGTATCGTTGCTGCAGTTCCTGGTTTTGTCTCTCTAACTCGGACCGTTGGTAGTTGCAAGCGTACAACAACCGTGTCACGAGCTTGGAGAGGAACTCCTTATGCTGCTCTTCCGGTGTCGCGTCGTCGCCGTTGGACGGTTCAAAGTGCCAGAACTTGAGTCTTTCGATGCTGGCAGCTTCATGCCGCTGCAGCAGATCCTGGGCCTCCTTGCGGCAAGCCTGGGTATCTGCGTCTGCTTCGGCCTGTAGCCGCTGCTTCTCAGCTGTTGCCGCTGCTTCAGCCTGTAGGCGGGCGGCCTCGGCTGCCAGCTGGCGCTGTTCCTCAGCCTCGATCAGAGCGAGCTGAGCCTGGAACCGCTGTTTGTAGTCGGCAAGAGACTCGTTGGCCAGTTGGCCTGGCATGCCCAGAGTTGTGCCCGTCATGGTGGCGGGGCACTGCTGACGTGGCACTGTTACTGCTGACATGGTATTGCTGACGTGGCACTGCTGACGTGGCACTGTTGCTGACATGGCACTGTTGCTGACGTGGCACTGCTGACGTGGCACTGTGTGATGTGGCACTGCTGACATGGCACTGTTGCTGACGTGGCACTGTGTGACGTGGCACTGCTTGGCAATGCTGATGTGGCACTGTTGCTGACGTGGCACTGTACAAACCCGGAAATGCATGCAAAGGGGTGGGTGGGAGGGAAAACGTAGGTAGGCAACCAACCCAACAATACTTTCCTCCGGCCCTAATCAACAGATAAAAAATAATAATAA